AGGAGTGGCCTGAGGCGAGGAGTACGTGAAGCCGAAGCGCTGAAGGACCTGCTGCACCATGTGTGACTGAGTCAGGGTAATGGTGCGGCGTGCTCTGTCCCGGGTGATCTGCAAGCCAAGGTAGCTGCGCAGTTCACCCAGGTCTGTGCACGTGTGTCTCTTCTGCAGCTCGGACTTCACGTGGGCGAGTCCAGCAGTGTCAGCTGTGGCAAAGACCAAGTCGTCGACGTACACGAGGATGTAGAACGGCGGCAGAGAGGTGTCGGTGCGTAGAAACAGCGACGGGTCGGCAGTAGAAGGAGCAAACCCAAGAGCCGCAAGCGTAGTCCTCAGTGTGTCGTGCCACTCACGTGGCGCCTGGCGGAGACCGTAGACTGGACGCCGGAGACTCCACTGGGTACCAGGAGGGAAAGACCCAGTGAAGCCAAGTGGGCGGCGCAGCCAGATCTCCTCGTGCAGGCTGCCCTGCAAGAAAGCAGTGCTGAAGTCGAGAGAGTGCAGCTCGTAGTCACGGTGAGCAGCAACGTGTAGCAGCACCCGAAGAGTGGTCATCTTCGGGGTGGGGGAGAAGGTCTGAAAGTAGTCAACTCCCTGTCGCTGACTGAAGCCACGAGCCACGTAACGTGCCTTGAAGACAGGCGGAGAACCCGGCGGCCGCTTCACCCTGAAGATCCACATGCCACTGACGATGTTCGCCCCAAGAGGGGGGACAGCGTCAACGTAGGTGCCTGTGGACTTCCAGGAAGCCATCTCTGCATCCATAGCTGCCTGCCACTGAGAGGAGTAGGGACCCTCTATCGCCTCCGCGTAAGAGCGCGGAGTCGGGATGTCAAGTGCATCCGGGTCTCCCTCAGGGGTAAGCAGTACGGACACGAGATGAGGTGAAGCAGCTGCCAGACACTGGAACTCCTCCTGCCTGTCCTCAAGGACGTCCGTGCCAAGGGCACACTCACCCCCGACTGACGGAGGACAGGCAGACCCAGACTCAGCGACAAGACTAGCAGCGTAGTCTAGGCGACAGCGAGCAGCAAAGTCGACGAGCTCAGTAACTAGGGCAGACGCAGCAGTAGACTCGAAGGAAGGGTCAGTGACGACAGTAGCAAGGAGACGCGTGACAGTAGGACTGGCAGCACGAAGAGAGTCCGACGCAGGGTCGGGAAGAGCAGGAAGAGAGGACTCAGGAGGAGAAGGCAAAGGGGCACGCAGAGGAGCAGTAGACGGACGCAGAGACATCCTGTGCGTGCCAGGGACAGGAGGAGGACGCTGACGCAAACCACGACCACTAGTGCGAGCAGCACGGACAGGCGACGCAGGGCGAGACGCAGGCTCACGACGCTCAGTAAGACCTCCAGTAGGACCAGTGTAGGGAGAAGGAGCGGGCAAAGGGGAGGTAGGCTGTAGCAGTGACCGCGACGGGACAGGCTGTGGACCCTCCAAGAGAGGAGGAGGACCAGGAGAGGGCGGAAGACCAAGAACCTGCTGCAGGAGTGGAACGAAGTACGGTCGAGGCCGCGTAGCTACGCCAGAAACAGCAGGGACAGCACCAGTACCCCCAGCAGGAGCACCCGCTCCAGCAGCACCTCCAGTAGCTCCAGAACCTCGAGCAACACCAGGAGCACCCCCAGCAGGACCGCCAGTGGTAGTCTCAGCGCCAACACCCTCAGCAGCACCAGCTCCAGTCGAACCCGCAGGCCCAGCAGCTCCAGTACTCCCAGTACGAGCACCTCCGGGACCCGCAACAGCAGCATCCTCAGTAGCCGACGAACCTCCAGCACCAGCAGCACGGCTCCAGCGCCGGGCAAACCACTCGCGCAGCTCCTGTGGAGAGAGTGGCTCCCGGCGAGACAAAGCACGCGTAGAAACTCGAGGCGGAGGACCTCCAGGCGCAGCACTCCCAGGTCCAGCACCCCCAGGCAAAGCACCCCCAGGCGTAGCACCCCCACACTCAGCACCCCCAGGCTCAGCACCCCCAGGCTCAGCACCCCCAGGCTCAGCACCCCCAGGCTCAGCACCCCCAGACTCAGCACCCCCAGACTCAGCACCCCCAGGCTCAGCACCCCCAGGCCCAGCACCCCCAGGCCCAGCACCCCCAGGCTCAGCACCCCCAGCAGCACCAGAGTCACCAGTGACCTCGACAGGCTCGACTGCGTCTACCTGGGACACACCTGAAGGGGCAGGACCCTGAGGGGGGAGGGGGTCTACCGGGGGGGGACCTGGTACAAGGAAGAGCGGGGGCGGGGGGGGGGACGGAGTGCGGTAGGGGAAGAGGCGGTAGTAGGGTACCGATTCGTCGAACGTGACGTCCTGAGAGGACAGAACACGGCGAGAGGTGGGGTGGTAGAACTGCCACCCAGGCGCGTCTGGGGGGAACCCCAGGAAGACGCAAGGAGCAGCACGAGGGGACAGTTTGTCCGCAGACAAGTCGCGGACAAACGCCCGAGATCCCCAGACCCGGAACGCCGACGCATCGCCCACCTTCCCGGTCCACAGCAAGGCTGGGGAGGTCTCCGGCCTGGAGACCCTGGGGTGAAGGTTGATCTGACGTGCCGCGTACCTCACCGCAAACGGCCACAGAAAATGGGGGGCAGCCGCATGCATCATAGACGTACGAGCGACGTCCATGACCATGCCAATGCGGCGCTCAGCAATCCCATTTTGCTGCGGAGAGTCCGGGAGCGTGAAGGTCTGACGGATGCCTCGTGCACGACAGTAGGCTCGCAGAAGGCCAGAGGAGAACTCTCCGCCTCTGTCCGAGTGCAGACGCAGAACAGGAAAGTCGGAGCCAAAGCTCTGCCTGAGCTGGAGACGAGCTGCGCGGATCCAGTCGATCAGCACCTCAGTGACATCACCCTTGCCGCGCAAGGGGAAGACTGCGGTGTAACGCGAGTAGTCGTCAACAACGAGCAGGAAGTAGCGCTCGTGACCCTGCCCACGGACGCGGGCTGGGCCCCACACGTCCATGTGGAGCGTCTGCAACGGGGCCTCTGTCGGAGGAAACTGGGAGGAGTGAGGGGCAGCACGCTGGCGCCCCTCGACACAGGGGACACAGGTAGGGCCAGGGCCCTGAGGAAGGGGAGGGAGGGACCGGGGGAGACCAGACACTAGAAGACGGGAGGCCATGCCTCTGAGCCGAAGCAGAGAGGGGTGACCAAGACGGTGGTGCCAGAGAAGAGTCTCGTGAGACAGGAGACGACAAGAACAGGGGGCAGACTCAGGACCAGACCTGGACGCAGCAGCAAACACCTGACCCGACGAAGCGACTCTACCAGACTCAGTAACGGGAGGAGACGCAGTGGTCAGTGTGTACAGGCTCGACCCCGGCTGACGGGTAAACGTAGCCAGGTGTCGGCCTGTGCGAGCCTCTGTACAGTGCGTCACCCGCTGACGCGCAGGAGTGAACTGGTGTACACCCGCATCCTGTAGGTCAGCACCACTCACCAGGTTCGTAGAGAACGAGGGGAGGTAGAGACCAGACAGGGTGCCAGAGGGAGCCGCCGGACACGGGAGGACTGTGGAGAAGCGAGACAGGACAGGACCCCCAGAGGGGTCAGCCAGAGACACTGCAACCGGTCGACTCAGCGGTGTGAGTGTGGTGCGGTCCCTAAAGAAGGAGCGAGACGCCCCAGAGTCAAGGGTGAAGGTGAGGGAGGCCGAAGCCGACGTAGTACCTGAGAGCGCAGACTCACCAGTACCTGAGGACGCAGACACACGAGCACCTAGGGCAGCAGCGTCGCAAGCACCTAGGGCAGCAGCCTCACCAGGACCTAGAGCAGCAGTCTCAATACCCGGATCGGGCGGGAAACACCGGTAACAGTCACCCTCATCACTAATAGACACAGCATACATGGCAGAGAGAATAGCATCAAAGTCAAGATCATAGATGGCAACACCCGCCCTGGACAGGTCACCCCAACGAGGGATCTCTGAGGCCTCCGGGAACTGGTGACGCCACGCGTCCGTCAGGCGGCCAAAGCAGCGCTGAGTGGGGTGGGGACCCCCACACTGCTCACCCGCACGGTCGCCGGTGCGCAAAACGTAGGAGCACGGACCAAAATCCCCACCTCGCTGACGCGCAGTGTACCACTCACGAAGCTGCTGAGGGGACAAGGTGTCACTACCACGCTGCTGCTGCTGGCGCGAGCCACCACCGGAGCCACTCCTCTGCGAAGACCCGCGACCAGCACCACCTCCACCCCCGCCGCCTCCTCCGCCTCCGCCGCCTCCGCTACTGCCGCCTCCTCCACCTCCGCCTCCGCCGCCGCCACCTCCGCCACCCCCGCTCCCACTGCCACCGCCGCGGACACCTCCGCCTCCACTGCCGCCACCGACTCCTCCACCCCCACCTCCACTCCCACCGCCACCCCCACTCCCCCCACTGCCGCCACCTCCACCTCCACCGCCCCCGCTCGCTCCTCCAGCGCCCTTGCCCCCCTTGCCCTTGCCAGAGCGGCGTCTCCCACTAGGGGCAGACGCCACACCGACCGACTCAAGACCAAGGAGGTCGGCCGCAGCAGCAGAGGCAACAGAGGGCAGAAGGGGGGAGGGGGAACACCCCTCAAAGATGGGGGTGCGCGGGTCACCACGAGAGGCCCCTACAGCGACTATGGTCTTCTCGGCCGCTAGGAGGGACTTCTCGAGGAGGTCAACAGTGAGAGTGGTGGGACAGACAGAGAGAAAGTGGTCCCTGACTACGCGAAGGGAGTCAGGAAGGCGAGTGACTATGTAGTAAAGAGTGATGTACATGGGGGGGGGGTTCTTGGCGCAGAAGTCAGCAGGGAGTGCAGCGCGGTAGCGAGTGTCACTAGTGCGGAGGTGCGTAATGAGGTCAGCGACTGTGGGAAAGGCAGCAAGGTCAGGAAAGAGGTACGGTAGCATGAGACGGCTCAGTGCAGCAGTGGCAGGGGAGGAGTAGCGCGCAACTACAGCGTCGTACAAGGTCTGAGCACTCTTGTACTGACTAAAGTGTGCACGCTCGGAGGTAGGGAGGTGGCGACGCACAGCAAGACGTGCAGCAGCGTCGCGCGTGGCCCACTGGGAGCGAACAGTGGCGTCGGCGTCAGCAGCAGGGGCAGTGGAGGCGCCAGAGGTGAGGTCAAAGAGAGAGAGACCATCTGCCCTATCGCACTGTAAGAACAGCTGCAGGTCATCCACCCAGACCTCAAAGTCAATGGCCCGACCCTCAGCGTCAAAGACTAGAACACTAGGGGTAGCCATGACCCTAGACGACTGGCAGCGCAAACAGTAGGGTGAGGGCAGTGCAGTGAAAGGGCGCTGTGCTCACCAGACTGGACAGGTCGGGCGGCCCGGAAGGAGGGCGGCGCGGCGGCTCGGCGGCTCGGCTGCCGGGCGGCTCGGCGGCTCGGCGGCTCCGCTGCTGGGCGGCACGGCTGCTGGGCGGCTCGGCTGCTGGGCGGCTCGGCTGTTGAGCGGCTCGGCTGCTGGGCGGCTCGGCTGCTCTGCTGTCGGGCGGCTCGGTTGTGCTGCTGAGGGGCAGCACGGCTCGGGCTGCTCGGGCGGTGCGGGCGGCTCGGGCGGCTCGGGCGGCTCGGGCGGCTCAGCTCCTTAGCGGCACAGGCGGCGTGGGGACCGAGACGGCAGCGCGCGGCTGGGACGGGCGGCGCACGGGCGGCGTGGGGCCGGGACTGCGGTGCGCGGCCGGGACGGGCGGCTCACGGGCTGCGTGGGGCCGGGACGGGCGGCACGCGGGCGTCGAGGGGCCGGGACGGGCGGCGCGCGGGCGTCGAGGGGCCGGGACGGGCGGCGCGCGGGCGTCTAGGGGTCGGGCCGGGTGGCGCGCGGGCGTCTAGGGGCCGGGACGGGCGGCGCGTGGGCGTCGAGGGGCCGGGACGGGCGGCGCGCGGGCGTCTAGGGGCCGGGACGGGCGGCGCGCGGGCGTCTAGGGGCCGGGACGGGCGGCTCACGGGCGGCGAGGGGCCGGGACGGGCGGCGCGCGGGCGTCGAGGGGCCGGGACGGGCGGCGCGCGGGCGTCGAGGGGCCGGGACGGGCGGCGCGCGGGCGTCTAGGGGCCGGGACGGGCGGCGCGCGGGGCGTCTAGGGGCCGGGACGGGCGGCGCGCGGGCGTCTAGGGGCCGGGCCGGGTGGCGCACGGGCGTCTAGGGGCCGGGACGGGCGGCGCGCGGGCGTCTAAGGGGCCGGGACGGGCGGCGCGCGGGCGTCTAAGGGCCGTGACGGGCGGCTAAAGGGGCCACTAGGGGCCAAGAGAGAGGGGAGCGCGACTCGGGTAGGGGCAGAGTGCGCTCCGGGCAGGAAAAAAAAACGGTGGGCCCTAGGAACAGTTCCCACGAGGGAACCTGCTCGATACCATAAGAAGAATGAAGAACGAGGATGATGAACTATGAATGAGGTGAGTACATATAGAAAACCCTAATTGGGTTGTACCCCCTATGGGATGCCCCACTATAGCCTACACAACAGCATAAGCTATATAATGTTCTGACAGGAAGGACGCAGTGCCATCTGATGTGTGCCCGGGATCGCAGGAGGACGCTGACGTGGAGCACGACGACTAGTGCGAGCAGTACGAACAGGCGACGCAGGACGCGACTCAGGCTCACGACGCTCAGCAAGACCTCCAGTAGGACCAGCGTAGGGAGAAGGAGCAGGCAGTGGGGAGGCCAGCTGTAACTGTGACTCGGACTGGACAGGCAGTGGACACTCTAAGGAAGGAGCAGGACCAGAAGAAGGCGGAAGACCAAGAACCTGCTCAAGGAGCGGAACAAAGTACGGCCGCGGCCGCGTAGCGCCTCCAGAACCAGCAGGGACAGCACCAGCATCTGCAGCGTCAGCACCAACTCCAGGAACTACCCCACTACAGCCTAAACAGACTATAGCAGATATAAGTTTGACACACCCCCATAGGCAAAGTGGGGGAGAACAAGAGGTCACAAGACCAGTCAAGAAAGACAAAGCAAGCTCAAGGTGGATCACAAAGTCACCACGCAGTCTGAGCACAAGCAAAGGGCCACAAGGCCAGTTCACATGCAGAGTTATATAAAGGAAAGCAAACAATACAGTGAACACAACCTAGCAAGCGTAAGCATGCAGGTATAAGTATATAGAGTACAGTACAAGCAGAGTCAAGAAGTCAGCAAGTGAGGTACAGTAGGTACAAGGCCTAGAACAGTACAGAAACGCTGATGATCACAAGGCTGAAGTGCCTTGGTGAAAACATCTGCAGTGTTGGCCTGTGAGGCCACGTAAGCAAGACGAAGCTGGCCACGCTGCTGCAACTCTCGAGCAAGGAAGTAGCGCAGAGCAATGTGCTTCGTTCTGTGCTCCAGTCTGTGCTCCTGACACAAGGCCAACATGGCCTTGTTGTCGACGTACAGAACTGGAGGAGAACCAGGCGCCTCTCCCAAGTCGGTGAGCAGGTAGGTGAGCCAGCGAAGCTCCTGTGCAGCCATGGCCCCAGCGTAGATCTCAGCCTCACAACTGGAGCTGAGAACAGAAGAAGAGCGGGTAGACCGCCAAGAGACAGAACCGGAGCCAAGGCTGAAGGTGTAACCCTGTGACGACCACTGCGTAGCCAAGTCGTCAACCCAGGAGGCGTCAGCGTGACCAGTGAGGACAACTCGAGCCCGTCCTCCAAGCACGAGCCCCATGCCCGATGTACTGCACAAGTATCGCAACACCCTTTTCGCAGCATCCCAGTGCACCTTTCGGTGTCTGCCGGGAGCCACGTAGCGAGCCAGAAGGCTGAGAGGGTTTGCGAGGTCAGGTCGTGTGCAAGTCATCAGGTACATGAGGCAGCCCACAAGCTCTGGATACGGGCCACTCGGCTCTACGGACTCGTCCGAAGGTGGAGCTGAGAGCGAGTGACCGGTAGGCAGAGGAGTGGACTGTGGCGAGGAGTATGTAAAGCCGAAGCGCTGAAGGACCTGGTGCACCATGTGTGACTGAGTCAAGGTAATGGTGCGCTGTGCTCTGTCCCGGGTGATCCGCAAGCCAAGATAGCTTGTCAGCTCACCCAGGTGTGTGCACGTGTGTCTCTTCTGCAGCTCAGACTTCACGTGGGCGAGTGCCTCAGTGTCAGCAGTAGCAAAGACCAAGTCGTCTACGTACACGAGAACGTAGAACGGCGGCAGAGTAGTGTCAGTGCGTAAGAACAGAGAAGGGTCAGCAGTGGAAGGAGCAAAACCAAGAGCAGCAAGAGTCGTCCTGAGTGTGTCGTGCCACTCACGGGGTGCCTGGCGGAGACCGTAGACTAGCCGCCGGAGGCTCCACTGGGTACCAGCAGGAAACGACCCAGTGAAGCCAGGTGGGCGGCGCAGCCAGATCTCCTCGTGGAGGCTGCCCTGTAGGAAGGCTGTGCTGAAGTCAAGCGAGTGGAGCTCGTAGTCACGCTGAGCAGCAACGTGCAGCAGTACCCGAAGAGTGGTCATCTTCGGGGTAGGGGAGAAGGTCTGAAAGAAGTCAACTCCCTGATGCTGACTGAAGCCACGTACAACGTAACGCGCCTTGAAGGCAGGCGGAGAACCCGGCGGCCGCTTCACCCTGAAGATCCACATGCCACTGACGATGTTCGCCCCAGGTGGGGGAACCTCGTCTACGTAGGTGCCTGTGGACTTCCAGGAAGCCATCTCTGCGTCCATGGCTGCCTGCCACTGAGAGGAGTAGGGACCCTCTATCGCCTCTGCGTAAGAGCGCGGGGTCGGGATGTCTAGTGGATCTGGGTCTCCCTCAGGGGCAAGCAGCATGGACACGAGATGAGGTGAAGCAGCTGCAAAGCACTCAAGGTCCTCGTGTCTGTCCTCAAGGACGTCCGTGCCAAGAGCACACTCACCCCCGACGGACGGAGGACAGACAGACGCAGACTCAGCAACAAGACTAGCGGCGTAGTCTAGGCGACAGGCAGCAGCAAAGTCAACGAGCTCAGTAACAAGAGCAGACGCAGCAGTGGACTCAAACAGAGGGTCAGTGACAGCAGTGGCCAGAAAGCGCGTGACAGTAGGACTAGCAGCACGAAGGGAGTCAGACTCCGGGTCCGGACCGTCAGGAAGAGAGGACGCAGGAGGAGACGGCAGAGGGACACGCTGTGGAGCAGTAGAAGGACGCAGAGTCATAGAGTGAGTGCCAGGGACAGGAGGAGGACGCGGACGCGAAACATGACTAGTGCGAACAGGTCGGACAGGCGACGCAGAGCGAGGCACAGGTGACACAGGACGCGAGTCAGGCTCACGACGCTCCGTAAGACCTCTAGTCGGTCCATAGTAAGGAGAAGGACCAGGCAGCGGAGAGGCCGGCTGAAACTGCGACTGGGACTGGACAAGCGGTGGACTCAGGAAAGGAGGAGGAGGAACAGGAGAAGGCGGAGAGCCAAGAACCTGCTGAAGGAGCGGAACGTAGTACGGCCGCGGCCGCGCAGCGCCTCCAGAAACAGCAGAGACAGAACCGGTACCCTCAGCCCCAGGGTCTCCAGTCCCAGCAGCACCTCCAGCAGCTCCAGCACCAGCACCACCTCCAGCAGCGCCAGTACCTCCAGTAGCCCCAGTAGCACCTCCAGCACCTCCAGCAGCTCCAGCACCAGCAGCACCAGCACCAGCAGCACCTCCAGCAGCTCCAGCACCAGCACCACCTCCAGCAGCGCCAGCACCTCCAGTAGCTCCAGTAGCACCTCCAGCACCTCCAGCAGCTCCAGCACCAGCACCACCTCCAGCAGCGCCAGCACCAGTAGCACCTCCAGCAGCTCCAGCAGCACCAGCAGCAACTCGACAGCGCCGAGAGTACCACTCACGAAGCCGCTGTGGAGAGAGGGGCTCCCGCCGCGACGGGACACCTAGAGTACCTCCAGACTCAGTACCCTCAGGCGCCACACCCCCAGGCTCAGCACACCCAGTCTCAGCACCCCCAGACTCAGCACCCCCAGTCTCAGCACCCCCAGACTCAGCACCCCCAGTCTCAGCACCCCCAGTCCCCGCACCCGCAGGGTCAGCACCCCTAGCAGCACCTGAGTCGACAGCTACCTCGACCGGCTCGGCAGGGTCTACCTGGGACACACCTGAGGGGGCAGGACCCTGGGGGGGGAGGGGGTCTACCAGGGGAGTACCTGGTGCCAGGAAGAGTGGCGGGGGGGGGGGAGAGGCAGTGCGGTAGGGAAAGAGACGGTAGTACGACACCGACTCGTCGAACGTGACGTCCTGAGAGGACAGAACACGACGCGAGGTGGGGTGGTAGAACTGCCACCCGGGTGCGTCAGGAGGGAAGCCAAGGAAGACACAGGGAACGGCACGGGAGGACAGCTTGTCCGCTGTAGTATCGCGGACAAAAGCTCGAGATCCCCAGACTCGGAACGCTGACGCATCGCCAACCTTCCCCGTCCACCTCAGTGTAGGTGTGGTCTCCGGCAAGGAGACACGAGGTCTGAAGGTTGATCTGATGCGCAGCGTACTGAACCGCGAACGGCCACAGAAAATGGGGAGCAGCCGCATGGATCATGGACGTACGAGCGACGTCCATGACCATGCCAATGCGGCGCTCAGCAATCCCATTTTGCTGCGGGGAGGCCGGAAGCGTGAATGTCTGGCGGATGCCCTCAAAACGACAGAAAGGCTCTCAGGAGGTCGGAGGAAAACTCCCCGCCTCTGTCTGAGTGCAGACGCAGAACAGGAAGGTCTGAGCCGAAACTCTCACTAAGCTGGCGACGAGCACCGCGGATCCAGTCGATCAACACCTCAGTGACCTCACCCTTGCTGCGTAAGGGGAAGACTGTGGTGTAACGCGAGTAGTCGTCAACGACCAGTAGGAAGTAACGCTCGTGACCCTGTCCACGGACGCGGGCTGGGCCCCACACGTCCATGTGAAGAGTCTGCAGAGGGGCCTCAGTCGGAGGAAACGAGGAGGAGTGAGGAGCGGCGCGCTGTCGGCCCTCGACACAAGGAACACAGGTGGGGGCAGGCCCCGGAGGAAGGGGAGGGAGGGACCTGGGGAGTCCAGAGACAAGAGCACGGGAGGCCATACCTCGAAGTCGAGGCAGGGAGGGGTGACCAAGGCGGTGGTGCCAAAGGAGAGTCTCGTGCGCCAGAGGACGACACGAGCAGGGGGCAGACGCAGGACTAGACCTGGACGCGGCAGCAAACACCTGACTGGACGCAGCTACCTGACCAGACGCAGGGACCGGAGGAGGCGCAGTAGTCAGTGTGTACAGACTCGACCCTGGCCGACGGGTGAACGTGGCCAGGTGGCGGCCCGTCCGAGAGCAAGTGCAGTGGGTCACACGCTGACCTCCAGGGGTGAACTGGTCAACCCACGCGTCCTGGAGGTCAGCTCTACTCACCAAGTTCGTAGAGAACGAGGGGAGGTGGAGTCCCGACAGCAAGCCCGACGGGGCCGCAGGACACGGTAGAACCGTGGAGGAGTGTGCAAGGACCGGGCCCCCGGAGGGGTCAGCAAGGGAGACCGCAACAGGCCGACTGAGGCGGCGTGAGCGTGGTGCTGTCTCTAAAGAAAGAGCGCGAAGCACCAGAGTCAAGTGTGAAAGTGTGAAGGGACTCAGTAGGTGCAGTACCAGAGAGAGGAGACGTACCAGCACCTGGAGCAAGCAGACGCACTAGCACCTAGAGCAGCAGCCGCACTAGCACCTAGAGCAGCACCCACAGTGCCCGGGTCGGGCGGGACACGCAGGTAACAGTCACCCTCAGTAATATCAGCAAAAGCATACATGGCAGCAAGGATAGCATCAAAGTCTAGATCAAAGATAGGCACATTCTGCAGAAGCAGATCATGCCAACGAGGAAGCTTAACGGCGTCAGGAAACTGGGCACGCCAAGCGTCAGTCAAGCGGGCCGAAGCAGCGCTGCGTGGTGTGTGGGAGACCACACACCTCCCCACTCCGAGTGCCGGTGCGAAGAACGTAAGAGCAGGGACCCGCACCCCCAGACCTCCCACGCCCAGCGTACCACTCACGAAGCTGCTGAACCGACGGGGTCTCACGGGTGCGCTGCTGCTGCTGGCGCTGGCTGCCACCAAGGCCTCCACGCTGCGTGGCTGCACCGCGACCAGCACCACCTCCTCCGCTACCTCCACCACCGCTGCCGCCGCCTCCACCCCCTCCGCCACCCGCCGCCACGGCCTCCACTCTGCCGCCACCGACTCCCCCACTCCCTGTACCACCCCCACCACCACCTCCACCTCCTCCACCGCCTCCACCGCTTCCCCCACCGCCCCCTCCACCACCCCTGCTTCCCTTGCCCTTGCCGGTGCGGCGTCGCCCACTAGAGGCAGACGCAGCGCCGACCTCCTCAGTGCCAACGAGGTTGACAGCAGCAGCAGAGGCAACAGAGGGAGAAGGGGGACAGGGGAACACCCCTCAAAGAAGGGGGTGCGACGGTCGCCGCGAGAAGCACCGACAGCTAAGATACTCTTCTCAGCTGCAGCAAGGCGCTCCTCTAGCAAGTCGACAGTCAGCTCGGTGGGGCATAGGGAGAGAAAGTGGTCCCTGACTGAAGAGAGAGAGTCAGGGAGGCGGGTGACTAGGTAGTAAAAGGGTGATGTACATGGGGGGGGAGTTTCGTGGGAAGGAACGCAGTGGGAAGGGCAGCGCGGTAGCGGGCGTCACTGGTGCGAAGGTGAGCAACCAGGTCAGCAACTGTGGCAAAGGCGGCAAGGTCAGGAAAAAGGTACGGCAGCATGAGGCGGCTGAGGGCAGCAGTGGCAGGGGAGCTGTAGCGTGCAACTACAGCGTCGTACAGAGTCTTAGCACTCTTGTACTGACTAAAGTGCGCGCGCTCAGTAGACGGTAGGTGACTACGCACAGCAAGGCGGGCAGCAGCATCGCGCGTGGTCCACTGCGAGCGAACAGTACTGTCAGCATCAGCAGCAGGGGCAGTAGAGGCGCCAGACGTGAGATCGAACAGTGAGAGACCGTCCTTGCTATCGCACTGTAGGAAAAGCTGCAGATCATCTAGCCAGACCTCAAAGTCAACTGCCCGACCCTCAGCATCAAAAGTAAGGACACTGAGACTAGCCATGACAGCAGCAGCAGTAGGCTAGCAGCAGCAGCAGTGCAACTCAGCTAAGCAGGCTAGGCAGGGCAGCGCGGCTTGGCAGGGCGGCTCGACAGGGCGGCACGGCACGGTGGAGCAGTGCGGTTCGGCAGCGCGGCTCGGCTCGGCGGTGCGCTTACCAGGGGCGAGGCCGGGGGCAGGGCCGGGGGAGGGTCGGGGCAGGACTGGGACAGGTCCGGGGTAGGGCCGGGGCCGGGCCGCAAGAGATCCGGGGCTGGGCCGAGGCAGGGCCGCGACAGCACAGGAGGCAGGGCAGGGGGCTGAGTCGGGGCAGGGCCGGGGCAGAGCCGGGGGAGGCCGCGACAGGTCCGGGACAGAGCCGCGACAGGGTCGGGGTAAGGTTCGGGACGGGGCCACGACGGGGCCGGGGCAGGGCCAGGGTCGGGGGAGGTCCGGGACGGGGCCACGCGACAGGGTCGGGGCAGGGCCGGGGTCGGGCAGGTCCCGGGACGGGGGCCGCGACAGGGTCGGGGCAGGGGCCGGGACGGGGCCGGGACAGGGCCGGGGAAGGGCCGAGGCGGGCCGCGAAGGGGGCCGCAACTGGCCTAACGGGCCGCGAAGGGGCCGCGACAAGCCGCGACGGGGCCTAACGGGCCGCGAAAGGGGCCGGGGAAGGGCTGGGCGGGCCGGCGAAGGGGCCGCGACGGGGCCAAACGGGCCGCGAAGGGGGGCCGCGACGGACCTAACGGGCCGCGAAGGGGCCATTACGGCCGCAAAGGGGGCCTAAACGGGCCGCAAGGGGGGCCGCTACGGGCCTCAAGGGGGCCGCTACGGGCCTCAAGGGGGCCCTACGGGCCTGTGAAAGGGGCCGCGACGGGCCCGCGAAGGGGGCCGCGACAGGCCGCGCGAAGGGGCCTAACGGGCCGCAAGGGGCCACTACGGGCCGCAAGGGGGCCTAACGGGCCGCAAGGGGGGCCGCACGGGCCTCAAGGGGGCCGCTACGGGCCTCAAGGGGGGGGCGCTACTGGCCTCAAGGGGGCCACTACGGGCCGTGAAGGGCAGGCGCGACGCCAGCGCGTCGGGCAGGTAAGAAAAAAAAAAAGTATTTTCAGTGGTGGGCCCTTAGGAAAAATCGAAACTAGCTCTATACCATGTGAGAATTGAGGAATGAATGATTGAACTAGAAACGAGATGGGTACAAGTAGAGAACACAAAAGTGTTGTACCTTCTAGGAACTACCCCACTACAGCCTAAACAGACTTAGCAGATATAAGTTTGACATTAGTGAGGATTGAAGTAGCATTTTGGGCCAAGTAGAATTGCAATATCAACTATGAATACAAAAGCAAACACACAACTAGATATAGGCTACGGGAAGGTTTCACAAAGTTGGTGTGGCACTGCGCTGTAAACCCAACCCACGAAAGTGGTGTGTGGGTGAGCGAACGCGCCTCGTCAACTCCCAACCCAACTCAGCAGGGAAGTCAATGCGAGCTCGCCAATTCTCCCAGCACAACTAGAAATGGCGAGACTCACAGAGAACCACCCACAACCACCAAGACCACCCAAGAAGCATGCCCACGATTTCCCTAGACTAACACCACCCCAGCAATGACTGTTTAGTGCTGCCGTTGTCACATCGCGTCACTACGCAACCATCGCCAAATCATAGGGTCGGTGCTAGACTGCTCGTCTTGGTCTTTCATAGTCGACCTGCCAAGTCAAACGGTCGTCGAGGGCCCTTGCTGTCGTAGGGCCCTCTAACAAGGAGGAGATGGGCGAAGTAGGGAGGTAATGCCTCGACGCACCAGATGCCACCCCCACACGACTTTCTGGTACACGAATGGCGGAGTTAACTGCGGGTGAATGGCGATACCTA